CGCGCGGCGGGTGAATTTAAAGCGGAGGGCGGGACCGTCCGCCAAACAGACCGGGGGGTGGGTGGGGCTCTACCTCGTGCCCATAGCAACCAACGCCTTGTTGACGACCCAGTGCAGGAGCTGGTGGAGTTGGACGCCGGGCCTTCTTGCCGTCGTCGGTCCCCTTTTCTCGGCCAACCCCAACCGATCCCACCTAGCTTGGAGCACCATCTCTGAGAGAGGTGAGGGGCCCAGAAGGTAGCAGACGATTGGGCTCGGCCGGATGCCTCCCAAACGTGGCTGCAGACCGAGAGCGAGCGAGATATATTTCAAACAAGGGGGTGTTTTATGGCTCCAGCAGTTCAGCTAGCGTTCCTTCTGCTGCCTGCTTGAAGATTTACTGTATTTTCCGAGATAGGGCAAGGCAGCTGTTGCTGCAAATGAAGCTACCTTGCTTTTTCTGCAAAACCAACACACGGCAACTTCTCCTTCCTGTGCAGATGCTGCTCTTCTCGGGGAGGTGCTTGAAAAATTAACTGAACTTACCTATATTCGCCTTGCAAGTTTGCAGGGATAAGAATAAAAACACCTGTTTTGCTTTGTGAACTCATGGTGATTTTTTTTTTTCCCCTTGGGGAGCCTTTTCTCTGGAATGAGAAGAGCTTGTATTCCGTTTGTGGCGGGATATAAATGTGTATAAATAGATTGTGCATCTCAGTGTTTCTTAAACCCTTTCCTTTGAGGACCCCGTTCTGTTTTTTAAAATGGAGGTCCTCAAATGAGATTTAGCTTGTATGTGATTTACGTTGACCGTATTAAAAATGGATGCATTGCCTTCCTTCCACTAATGCTTCTCACAATTGCTTGATGGGATTTCATTACTGAATTGTTTTTTTCAACGTAAGCTGGCAAATGATTTTGGTTTTGTGGAATCTGAGAGGGTCTTGAGAGACCCCAAGGGTTCACACTTTGAGAAACACTGTATATCTCAATTGATGGAAATGGACGCAAAAATCCTCTCTTATTGTTATTCCCTATTCAGTGGTATTCGGTACCATATTGACTAGATAGGTATCTGAATGGTTTGTTGCACAGTCAGCCAGATATTCAGACTGGATTTGGCATTTTTATCTACCTATCGAGTCCTTCACAAGGACCTGGAATAGGCAGATGATGCTTAGTTTATGGTGTTAGACATATCAATGCAGGATGTATTAGCTATATTGCTATTATTAGTAACTGTTAGGTTATTTTCTTATATATTTCTCTAATTCTCCCCTTACAAATGTTTTTGAAATGATTGGCCCTGTTCTCACATAATACTGCAGCTTACAAATATTGAGCATATCAGCAAGCTGCACAAAGTAGATGAAAAATTTCTCCTCTCATCCAATCAAGGGAAAGAGCAATCTGTATTGTATTTTTTATTTAATAGATTCCTGATTTGTCTTTACATGTTTTATCCTAGCTGGTAAAGTTGAACCAGCAAAACAATCCAGCTACTTGGTGTAGGTACATCAGTAAGTTTCTTAAAGCGAAGTTCCTGATGCATGTGTTCAAACTGATTTTGCAACATACTATTTCGGAGCAATAGGAAAGTAAGGAATTTGTCTATGAATCATATTTTATACCACAGCACAATATTTTTATTTTCTGCCCCTTTCTTAGTTCCCCTAACACGGAGTTCACATTTTTGCACCATTTTTGTCTATTTCAGTCAACAGTTCAGTTTTTCTTATATGGTAATTGTAAGAACTGCAGGGTATATACTTTCAGTTTACTAATGGAGCCACTGAAAACTAAGTGTATTTGTCCGTGTAGCTCTACTCTAGGTTCTGTATCTTGATCCATATCAAGAGTGAGGAATATTAGAAACACTTTTTTTATACATGTATATATGCCTTCATACAAAAATAATCACAAGTTCTTGCTTAAAATGAGGGTCATATTCAGGAATCCAAAGCACTTAATTAAATCAATGATCCTGAATGTTATTAGTTTCCATTATTTATTAGAATATTGAAAAAGAACTGTATCAGTCAAATGAAAATGTATATAAAGTTGTATAACACTGCACATATCAACATAGAATTACTTAATATGATATATTAAGTTTTGACTTCCACCCATCTCTGCATAATCAGTAAATTAACACCTTTATCTACATTAAAATGATTTTTTCATTGAAAAAAATCATATTGGCGTAATCTGATCTTTATGAAAATTAGTTTAATAATCTTACTGTTTTTCTCTCTATCAAAAAATACTTGCTTTTATTTTAGATGTCGGCTCCAAGTAAATCAACAAACTCTCCTGATGAAGATGAAGATGTATGGAACCTTCAGTTACCACCTATAGCTCTTCCTTCCACATCTAAGGAGCCGACTGAAAAACAGAAGAAATTGATGAAATACCGAAGAGTAACAGAACAGCAGAAGTTGCTTAACAAAATCATGTAACATCTCTCTTTCTATACAGCAATTATTATGGAGTGGTAGTAGTTGTGTTTGCCTTATTCTCTGCTCCAGGGCTCAAAAGGCAGTTTGTAGATTCCTACCAGACATACATGTTTTGCACTATTTTTCTACCCATACATCTGTGCTGTAAGTTGCTGGACATACAGATATTAACAGATGATCATGTTTGATTCAATATCAAATTCTTTACCTTAAAATGTACAGAAAAGCAGATACTTAAAAGGTAAAATATCCAGCATGAGCTGACCTTACATAGTACAATGATATAAACCAGAGCTCATGGTTGCAGGTAGTTCTCAACTTAAAACCATTCACTTAGCAATTGTTCAAAGTTACAATGCACTGAAAAAAGTGACTTATGGCTAGTCCTTGCACTTACAACCTTGGTGGTGTGATCATGATCTGAGTGCTTGACAACCAGCTTTCATTTATAACAGTTGCAGCATCCTGGGTGTCATATGATCACCATTTGCAATCTTCCCAACTGACTTCTAACAAGCAAAGTTCCCCCAATGGAAGGGAAGGTTTCAAGTGACCTCCTGTAATTGAATTCCTCCACTTTGCTGTTCTCTTTTTGTCTTTCCTTCCACCTTTCCTAGCATTATAGTCTTCTCAAGGAAGCTAGATATTTTCATAGTGTGTCCAAAATTTGAGCCTGGTCATTTGTGCCTTCAATGAGAACTTTGGATTAATTTCTTTAATGGTCCAATTGATTGTTTTGTGACCTATCAATGGTATTCTCAGAAATCCTCTTCAATACCAAAGTTCAAAAGTGTTGAAGTGTCAGTACACTTTCTATCTTGCTTTTTCCAATGCAAATTTCTCTTCCATGGACACTCAGAAGGAAAACCTTGGTTATACAATTCTGGTAGTTGTAGTTATAGGCACATCTCCATATCTGTATACTTTTTCCAAGATCTTCATGGCTACCTTTCAAATGCTAGTCTAAGGCATATTCCTTGACTGTTGAAGCTTTATGTCAGGCCAAAAGATCAGGTCCACACATGAAGGTTCAATTCAAATGATTTATTGCTAAAAGCCTATGTAAAGGAATTTTCTCAGTCAGTACCTGGTTAAAATTAGATAAGGGTCAATGGCACTCAAGGGGGGGGGGGGTTGGACTTAGTTCGCTTGTGGCTATGTAAGGGTTCTAGGCTGGGGATCACCCACCCCCAGGTTCTGCCATTGATAGCTGTTTCTAATAGGCAGAAGCTATCATCTGCTTCAAAATGTTCATTGTCAGTTCTAAGGCTTGACCTGTTATGATTAGTTTAGTTTTCTTTATACTAGTTCATATTTTTCCAAACATTACTGCATATTTTCTTCAACATCATTTCCATACTCTTCTACATTTACCTTGTTTTAACATGTCTCTTTCCAGCTCTGATGTCTTTACAAATATCATTGTAATACTGCTTCTTGTCTCCCTTGTTTGAAATGCTTTGTTTCTTTCTGAGATCTTTTTGTTCCTTGGCTTCAGCATCTCTTCTTGGCAATTTAAAGTTTCTTCTGACATCCAATTTACTTTCCTCTTTTTCTTGGTCTTTGTATCTTTTTTCACATTCATCCGTAACAACATATTTGAGTTCATTGCAGAGTTTCTCTGGTTCTGTCAGGTGTGGAAAACCAAGAATGACACATGTAAATGCCCAAAGTAATCCTTGTATTGCTGTTCAGACATGTCAAACCCAAGGCCCATGGGCTGCATCCGGCCTGTGATTGGCTGATATTTGGCCCGAAGAGATGTTTCCGAGATGGCGAAGGACTGGCCCCCGTTGCCCTGGCTCCAGCTCCGCCCAGCCCGGCAGCCCCCAAGGCGCGTGCACAGGAGGCGGTGAGCGCATGGGGGCCAACGTCGTCCGGCAGCAGGGAATGCGTAGCCCGCTATGAATACTGGGCCGGTCCTCCAGCAGCAGAACTGTAGTGGCACTGGCAGCATGTGGAGTCGGGGCACGTGATGCAGACCACCGGACAAGCCTATGCTGTCCCATCTCTTTTTGGTTGGAGAGCAGGTCGCCACTGGCCATCTCAGCCCCCTCCTGGGTCTTGCCCTTGGTCCGTGGGTGGAGTACATTCCCCTCGCACACCTCGGTACCTGCCCCAGCCATGGCCACCAGACGCGTCCCACCATCGAGCAATAGCAAGGTAGCTATGTCCACCCCAGCCACATCCATCCAGTCAGCTGTGACCACTGCAGGCATGCCCACCCAGTGGGCCATGCCCACTCAGCCCCCCTGAGGGCACTACAATGCTGATGTGGCCCTCAATGAAATTGAGTTTGACACCCCTGATCTAAATAGGCAGAATCTTCCCAGACTAAAGCACACTCTGCACAACTATCTGTGAAGTCTAATTGTCTCATCCCACCGGGACTGGCCTGCCCAATCTGTGCTGGCAGAGGAGACATAATTTGAGCTCCGTTTATAAAGGAATTCCAGTTGGTGGGGTCCAGGAGAAGAGCCTTCTCTGCTGTGGCTCCTGTTCTTTGGAACATCTTACCCCCTGAGGTGTGATTGTCTCCCACTCTTTTGTCCTTCTGCAGGAACCTGGCTCTGCCAGATGGCTCAGGGCTCTAATGGGGGAGCATCACATTGGAGGTGGTTGAATTAATCCCACCTCCCCCCGCTGTGCATCCTGTACCTCCCTCCCCAATGTTTAACTATATTTTATTTTGATTGGGATTTCTGTTTTTATTCTTTCAAAGTTATTTATTTGTTAGGATTTTGATGCTTTAATTCTGGAAGCTGCCCAGAGTCAATTTATTATGAGATGGGCAGCAAATAAATTCAACAAATAAATAAATATTATTCAGTTATTAACTACATTGTACCAAGTGATCTTAACTTCATTCTTTAATTGATTTGTCTATTATGTTTCACCGATAGATGGGCATTTATACAAATTAATTAAGTGTACATGTATAATCTTTGCTACGAGTTTCCTAAATATGAAAGTGACATAAATTCTCCTTTGTTGTTTTTTTATTATCTGAGTACTAACTTCTTTTGACCATAACATCCAATTCCAATCTATATCAGTTACCTGATCCTAAGATGACAATGTCTACTTGATACATTTCATCTTTCACTAAATTCAGATTTTCCACATTCTCATCATCTTTGCAGCTTTGGATTTTCTTTTCCTGCATGGCAATATCTGCAATCAGATATTCTGAAGGTATTAAATTAACCTTCATAATGTTAAAATACCATTAGTACTTCAAAAATCCTCAGCTTTTTCTCAGTAGTATGTTAAGTACCATCCAACCTGAAGGGCCATCGTCTGGTACTATATCACTGATCACTTTGTATTGTCTATCCATGTGGTTTTCTTTTTAAAATACAGGACTGGTTTACGAATGACTTTTCCCATGCAATATGAAATCATGCCTTTGCTGTTGTCACTAAGGTGATCATCTGTTTTCCAGCAACAACTTATATTGCTACTATCTGTTGTTTTAACTGGGCAGCTGGACTGACTTCCATCCCTTGGATGACCCTACTGAGAGTATATATTTTTGGCATATATTACTGGTCTTCCTTTATCTTTCCCTGGAATATACCACCACCACTGTCATCATGATGCTATGTAAGAGAAGAGGAGCTAAATTTAAAGTAGGAATAAAATAGATGTTGAGACTCTAGAAAGAGTGCAGAGAAGAGAACAAAGATGATTAGAGAACTGGAGGCTAAAACATACAAAGAACAGTTGTGGGAATTGGGTATGTCTAATTTAATGAAAAGAAGGACTAAGGGTAACATGATAGCAGTGTTCCAATATCTCAGGGGCTGCCACAAAGAAGAGGGAGTCAAGCTATTCTCCAAAGCACCTGAAGGGAGGACAAGAAGCAATGTATGAAAACTAATCCAGGAGAGAGCCAACCTAGACCTAAGGAGAAATTTCCTGACGGAACTATTAATCAGTGCGACGGCTTGCCTCCAGAGGTTGAGGATACTCTAACACTGGAGGTTTTTAAGAAGAGATTGGACAACCATTTGTCTGAAATGGTATAGGGTTTCTTGCTTAAGCAGGAGGTTGGACTAGAAGATCTCCAAGGTCGCTTTCCATTCTGTTATTCTGCTAATAAATAATATAAATAATTAAATGGCTAATTCTTCTCAAATCTATGTGATGTAATTTGATTATGTCTGAATGTTAGCCAGTTTGCTGTTCAGTATCAACTTGGTAAGAAATAGATACAAATCTGAGACACGTACAGAAATATAAAAGACATTTATATTGCTCACTCTTTTTTGTTGTACTTCAGAATTAATGTTGCCACAAAAGATTATACAATGTCCATGGAGGAATTTGTTAACAGAGAGCCTGAGCCTGTTGCTCCACAACTGCCGTATACTGTAAGTTTTTATTTCAATATGTATATGGATAATAATAGTTGGTTTTTTATTTTTTTTCTTTACAGCACTCATGTCATGTCAGTCTGTGTTGTATTTAATCATGATGAATTGCTAGTTATTAATCTGAAATCAAACCAGTTTGCATCCATCTTCCTTTACCTTACTGAATATGATTTATTCTTTGAAAAACCTTTGTGAAAAATCATGGTGACACAGGCCCATGCTTTTTCAAGTAGTTACATATTTTGGGACGTCATTTCTTTTTAAGACAGTAGTGCAAAGTTGTTTTATAACTTGTTTAACTCCTCGTCAAAGTCTCTTTATTATTTATAACCACACTCCCTTAGTCGTTGAGAGACGAAAAACCTTCTCTCTTTTCTTTACTGTGGCGTGAGAACTCACCAAGTATTTATTGATGTGGTAACACATCATACAAACCAAAACACCTATTATTGTAGTTCATTCAACAAACTATAGGTCAAGAAATCATAGGTTAGTAGTGTATAAATCCTACTATTGGATCTATTTCAATCCTAACCAAAGAGACTTGATCCTCATTTATAAAAGTCCCATAGCCTTAGATAGCAGATAATTTCAATTAAGCTGAAGAGGAACCTGTGAAAAGTTTTTTATTAGTATAAGCAATACAATCACTGTTGATGCTATCACTATGAGCACTTTAGCTACTAAGCATTTACGATTCTCTGGGCAGGTGTTAACAAAGTTCCTTGTTTTTGAATTTTTCACTTTTACTGCATAAATGGTTACACTGAACTCTGGAAATAACTAAGATCTATTTCGTGGAAATCATATTAACCATTTTGAGGGCCTTATGGGTAGAAAGGTGGAATAGATAGAACAGATAGAAAATATCTTATAATAATTTCTAGGTCAGGAACTAATTGATTACTTTGAAGTCTAGTTCTTTCATCCAAAGTCAGGTTGCAGTAAATATCTGTATGTTTCCTTACCTGCTGTTTTTTTTTTCTCACCATGAATACTCTGCTTAGTTACCTTTCTTAATGCAGATCTATACTAGCTGGGTGAGCTGCAATGCTGCAGATATCAGCAATAGTGCAAAACAGGAGGAGTTTTCATTTACTGCATAGTTGTTAAAAGTTATAGTTTAGCCTGATTGAATTTTGGACAGAAGTATTTTTTTCATTCACTCTATCAAGAATTTCTCATTCAATTTTGTGATCTTTTCTTACTTTTTTTTTCAACAGATGAACAGTGAACAGAAACAAATTAGAGTAAGTGAGTTAAGGATTTTTAAAAGGCTTATTATGATTGTAACATGTTGCATAAACGTTATAAGTTTATGAGATATGGAAATACAGCTAATATTCATAGGGTTTGTTGTTCCTTATCCATAGAACTACAAATGATGAAGATGCTCTATACTATTTATTAATGTAATTTGAAGATCATATTTGTTAGGATATCCTAAAGTTGCAAATTATTAATTTAACTTGACAGCCATGTTCATGGTTTTGGTAGCCTTGTCAAATCAAAATTATAAAGATTTTGATTAAAATATTGGTAACATGAATTTCTGATTTTTAAAATAGTATTCATATTTACACATTAATTAAGAATTCTAATTAAGATATGTAAGATTTTTTTTAAAAGTTTATGTATACATTTAATAGAAATATAGCATATATCCCTCCTTTACCATATGTAGTACTTTTTTGTGTTAGATTATGCTTGTAGAGTGTAAAGATAAAAAATACCGAACATCAGTCAGCAAACAATGCTAAACATATTCTCTCCTGCATGGGAAGACAAAAATAAGCTAAAATAAGCTGTTTATTCCTGGGAGACTGGGCAGGGAAAGTTATTGTTCTGCCAAGGCCATCTTTTTTAGAGCTGTAATATTTTATCTCATTGGCACAACTTGGAAAACTTTCCCTTAAAACTGAAAGAACTGTAATCAGGCTGGAGGCAACAAAAAAGACACAAAGCCAACACTATTTGTCTTTTAGCAACAGCTAGCAAGACATTCTCATACTGTAGAGTACGGGTGTCAAAATGCCAGCCCGCGGGCTGGATGCGTCACGCGGAAGCTGCGCCCACCCCATTACCGGCAATGGCAAAACAGTCCTGATACGTCGCGCAACATCATGTGATGTCACGGGTTTGATATGTCTGCTGTAGAGTATGGAACATAAGGATAAGCTCTCAGAGTAATATTACAATTTATACTTTCAAATCACAAACAGTAAAAATCATTAGTTTTATTTCATTACATAATGATGGTTTCATTTCAGAATAATTATCTCTTTATGAAGAAATGTGTTGAAAGTAATCCAGTGGTACCTATTCAGCAGGAATGGTTAATCTCCATGCTCACATTGGTACCTCAATCTCTCATGGAGGGCAAGGATAGAGAGAAACTGGTTGAAGAACTCTTAAATGAGATAACAAATGATTATGAAATGAGTATGAAAAGATATATGGGTAAGTTCCACTAACAGTATCATGTTACAATAATACCCCTTTTCTCATACATTTTTCTATATATTTCTTTGTATAACATAAAACATGTAATTCTTGCCTAGATAGCAAAAACTATATTGATACCTGATTCTATCAGAGATATTTTTCTCAAAACATGCTAACTTACCTATATGTTTTTGTTTTTTTTTTATAAAATTTTTATTATTTTCATCATAAAAAAAAAAAAATACATCACAGATATTACACAATATTATATCCCAACCCCCCACCCCCCAGACTTCCCAAACCAAACCTAGGCTACTATTCAAATACAAGTAAGCAAATATTATTACCTCTAACTCCAAACTCTAAGCTTAAACAATCCCTCTCCTCCGTATTAATAAAAATTATTCATTTAATTAATTCTTCAAATACCCAAAATCTTTACCGTTTCAGCAAGATAATTTAACACCATCCCTTACTTATACAAAAAGAAAAAGGGAAAAATTCCCATCTTCCATAAGGTTAACACATAAATTCTGTCATTTCATCAAGCTGCACCTATAAAAAATCGTTTTCCCCTTAATAAGGTTTACAACTTCAATTATTTAATTATCATTCAGTTGTTTATCAAATATAACATTAACAATAAGTCCACCTCCTTCAACCATATTAAATCAAGAAAAAAAGAAAAAAAGAAACCTTTAGGGCCTTAATTCCCATCCATTCTTAGTTATGCTCAAAATCTTTACCATTTCAGCAAAATAGTTTAACACCATCCCTTACTTATACAAAAGAAAAAGAAAAAAAGGAAGAAATTCCCATCCTCCATAAAGTTAACAAATAAATTCTGTCCTTTCATCAAACTACACCTATAAAAAATCATTTTGACCCCTTAACAACTTCAATTACTTAATTATCATTCAATTATTTATCAAATGTTTAACAATAAGTCCACCTCGTTTATAATAGTCTTCCTTCATTATTAAATCAAAAAGAAAAAAACCTTTAAGACATTTTAACCCATCAGATAAAGTTTAGTGTCTTATTTATATCTGACTCTAGCTTTCTTTCTATACCAAGTTAATTCCCATATTAGAGCATTTCGATTATCAAACCTCAAGATTTGGTTGCAAAACTTAATCACTTCAAACTGAGCAAAATTTTCTTCCCTTTCTACCAGTATCATCTGAATATTAATCTGGATATCAATCTTTGTTGTTTTTAGCAGTTGAAATGAGTCAGTTGCAGTTAGTTGTTGATCCTCAAAGTTATCCAAGTAGCTTTGTATAAAGTTAATTTGCTTGATAGTTTCCACATTTACTCCCAGTATAAATTCACAATTAGATTGCTCTAAGTCTTCAAATTGTATGTCTTGATATATAAAAACCTGTTCAGAATTACTCAGTCTCTCTTCTATTATTCCTTGTTCCACAATTTTGTTCATTTTTAAAAAGTCAATGTAAGGTTCTAATATGGCCCCTTCAGGATGTGAATAACTTTCATCAACTGCCACCGCCTCCACTTGTTCATTCAGGTCTTGAGAAGCAATTGTAACATTCAAGCAGGAATCCTCCTGTTTGTGTAATAAATCTTGTTGTTGTAATAAATCCTGTTGTTGTAGCATCACTTGATCACATCTATTTTGAAATTTAGCATCAAACGATTGAAACATCTCAGTCATTGCGGAGACCCAGTTCTGCAATTGTCTGACAAGGGGCGGTGGAGGTGAAAAAGATAACAATGGAGGCAAGTGGAAAATTTCAGAAGTTGGTTGAGATGCCTGAGACCTCAGGGATATAATCGGTCCCAAAGTTAAAGGCATATTTTTTCTCTGAAGCATATTAGCAGTAAATTTAAGCAATTCAACCAGAGCAAATAGTACGCAGATACAAAGTAGCAGGAATTTCAAACCGGAAATCACTTTCACTTCTTGCTGAAAAGTATCAATCCATCGCCATTTTTGTTTCACTTTTCCTCATTCCAGCACACGTACGGGGAGGAACTTATTATCCAAGTTAAAGTAAAATCAAACATAAAAAGCAAGCTTCCAAAGTTGGTTCGTCTGCTTACAAGTAAAACTCACGATTAACTTCTTCAACGTCGCCACCGCCGCCGAAGATCGAAGCGGCTTCGCTTCCGCAGGACCTAGCGCCTCTTAGGAGCCCCGAGGCCTCCTCAAGAGTGGATGTAGCAGGTATATCCTGCTGAGCCCTTGAGTTGAGGATGGGGCCCGTCGAGTGGGATCCCCTTATGCCCAGGGGAAAGGTATCAAGCCGTTTGACAGCTGATGCTAGCTGTCAAACCGGCTTTTACGCGAAACAGGCGGGAGGCAGCAAACAGCTGCGACCGACGAAGTCGCCTGCCACCGGAAGTCTCCCTTACCTATATGTTAACAATAGTTATCATTTATATATGGGACTACTGTAATTATTTAGTCATCTTTCAGTGTTACAAAGGCACTGACAAAAGTGACTTGCAACACTTTTTCACACTTAATGACCATTGCAGCATCCCCATAGTCATGGGGATTTTGAATGCTTGGCAAATGATTCATATTTATGATGGTTGCAGTGTCCCAGGGTCATGTGATCACCTTTTGTGACCTTCTAACAAGCAACGTCAATGGAGAAGCCAGATTCCCTAAACAACCATGTTACTACCTTAACAATCCAGGAATAAACTTCGCATTTGATATCCCTAAGCTTCTATGTACTTTTTACATGTTTTTAAAAGCCAAATCAGTATCAATTATTTTGTTGAAAATAAAACATTTTAAACATTATTTTATGAGTAACATGCTAAAATAGTATGCATAGGCTGTTTCTCAAAATACCAGCATATCTCTGTAATGTGTCATGGTTCCGACAGAGACAAATAAAGCAGAATTCCAAAGCTTGGAAATTCCTCAAAGAACATGTTTATTAGTTACATGTCAAAAGTGAAACCAAGTCTGAAGACGCACGTAACAATTCCCCAATACAAAGTTAAGAAATCCGACCTCTAAAGCTATGCAAGCAACTACGTTCTCCAATATATCTTCTTGGTGGGCTTTGCACAAAACGCCCAGCCAGCAGTCTAGGGAGCAGCCGATGACCTTGGTTCCTACAGGACAAAAGATTATTTTGACTAGTGAAGCACCTGGCAACTCCCCCTCCCCCCTTCAATGAGTGAACCGAAAATGAATAGGGAAAATGGCCGTAGCCATGCTCATTTTCAAAGCTGACATAATGTTTTGAATAGTCCTTGAAGTTAAATATAATTTATAAAATATTACTTTTAAATAGCATTTCCTAACACATATTTTCGATATATCACAGTACGAAGCGTTCTTATCAAGCCTGAAGTAAAATTACTTGAATATGAAAAAGAAGGACCTTTGCCAGTTGAACCTGAGTGAGTAAATTATATTAATAAAGCTATATTCTAGATGTTTTTCTGAAGTCAAAGTGGAAATAGTTTTCTTATTTCTGATAGTCTGAGTTTGACTTTTAAAGAGTTTAAAATTGAAAAATGTTTCCCTGTTGTCTGTTAATCAAAGTAATATTGTTTCTTTTTTTTCTCCCATGTATTTAGTATTGTTGTTTTGTTTATTTTGTAGAGGATTGGACTTTTCTAGACCATGGCATAAAAGTTTCATACAAGCAAGAAAGCAGATTTTTGAAAATTTACATATTCTCCATCCAACTTTAAGAATTCTCCTTGAAATTGGTTACAGAATGTTTTCCAAGTTACTTGTAGTAGATGTATCTTGTTTCAGGTAATATTTATAGTTCTGGATTTAATTTTCTAAATACAGAATATATGCATTTATAGTTCTGGATTTAATTTTCTAAATACAGAATATATGCATAATTCTAATTGTTATTTTCTTTTGGTAAAATATATCACTAATAACATAGTTTTTACAATTCACTTTGAATGTTTTAGTATTTGGCAATTAATTTGCAGAATTCTTAAGATGATATAAGATACACACCATATAATATCTACTACAATTGATAGTCTCTTCTCCACATTAATTATGAATTTATTCTCCAGAGGGATTGTACATAGCCAGAGCGATGCATGTATAGACAAGAAGGAATATGAACAAGCTTGGGAAAACTTCCTTATTAGCAATCAGGAAAAAATAAATTCCATTTTATGAAAAGAAAATTTAAAAAGAATCCTAGTGAAGATTGAATGTGACTGTGTAGCGGAAAATATGAAAAAACTGAGAAGTGGAAGTGGAATAATGTAACTGTAGTTCCCCAGAATTATGACACTCACATCATAATACTTTATTGCAAATTTCACTTATTTTTTATGTGAGTTTTAAATCAGGATCAAAAATACACAAATAATATAAGGACTCTGGCTTTTTTATAACTGTTAACATGTACATTTGTTTTATATTTGTTGTCCATTGAATTTGCCTAACGTTTCATTTCTTAAATTGATACAGGTCAAGAGGCCCAGTAGAATGTGAATCCCTTCAAAATGATGTCTCTATAAAATGCTTAAAAACAGAAGAAAAGATATTAAACACATGGTATCCAAGGGTTATCAATCTCTTTACCAGAAAAGAAGCACTGGAGGGTGTGAAACCTGATCAAATGGATTCTTTCTATAACTGTGTGACTACACTTATGTCTAATCAGGTCTCTTTTTCATGACTTTTCAGATCTCTGTAGAGCATTATGTATGCATCTTAAGAATTTTTGTTTTCCATCACCTTAGCAGAAGAAGAATTCAGATCATTCATAAAAAATCTTTCTTTCAAAAAAACTTTGTGAAAGGTTTATGAATCTGAATATATGAGAGATTATTGCAAGAGTTATGTGAATGTTCCTGTTTTATTTGAATTTCAAAATATACATATTTATATTATGGAAGTTGTGAATAAACAAGTCAATATAGAAGATGTGCTTAAGATTGCTTTAATTGTGTGCACTGAAATCTTTTTTAAACCTTACTTTTAGCTGAAGGAGTTATTAAAAAGAACTGTTGAAGCTTATGTGAAGTTGTTTGACTTAGAAGATCAGAGATGGCTGCCTTTGTTCAGAATGGAATTGACTTTTGATGATGAGAAAATGGACTTTTATCCTAGCTTTCCAGATCTGGAAGATACCATCTTATGTATTATTACTTTGATTGCACAAACTTTGCAGGTTCTGTTTTATCTATTTTACAATAATCTGATAAAATATGTAAATTTTATATTGCTTAATATACACATCCGCTCTAATTTAAATTCCCATATATTTCAGATATTTTCAGGTAATGCACAGATGATTGTAACCCTCACATCCAATGCTAAATGATTTTCATTATCCATGAACGTAAAAATAACTTTCTTGCACTTAATAGTTAAAACGTAAACATTGTTTGAATTGTGAATCTGCTCCGGAAATAATCTGGTGAAACAACTCATAGTCTATAGTAACCAGAAGTGAAGAAGACTAAATAAGTGCTTGATTTCCTATTAAATGGAATACTAGAGATATTGCCATTGGAAGGAGAGACTAGGCTCGTGTGAGAGAAAAAAATGTCAATTTTAAGATACTTTATTCCTCAATGTAAAGTCTAGTTTTAGGTGTTACAAATAGAAAATATGTGAATGGATTTATTGTGCTGTTTTATGAATAAGGCTGCTCTAAATATGAAAAGAAGTATATACTATATGCAGTGTCTATGGAGATTCTCAGTCATCCAGATCACAGTTATCCCAAAGATGCTGTTTCACAAGGCAACTGGACTTTCTTGTTTTTCTTTGAAGACATTTCACTTCTCACCCAAGAAGCTTCTTCAGCTCTGACTAGATGGTGGGGAATGAAAAGATTTATACTCCTTGCAGACAGCTGGTCATTTTCATTCTTTTAGTGTGGAACCTTCTTGGAACTGTTGAAAGGACTGGATTGTAGAGGGGGAGGGATGTGACATCATCTATCTCCAGCCTACAACACAGTCCTTTCAACAGTTCCAAGAAGTTCCACACACATTTGTGCACACACAGATAAGCCTCAAGATAGCACTAATGACTCGCTAAAAGAATGCAAATGACCACCTGTCTGCAAGGTGTATGAATCTTTCCATTCCCCACCATCTAGTCAGAGCTGAAGAAACTTCCTGGGTGAGAAGTGAAATGTCTTCAAAGAAAAAGAAGGAAGTCCAGTTGCCTTGTGAAAAAGCATCTTTGGGATACCATATGCAGAGCACCACTAGGAAAAAAAGGGAAATCTTTCAGAATAGTATTCCATGAAAACCTGGATGCTACTAGTGGCAGTAGTTAGAATGCAGTATTGCAGGCAATTTCCAGGGCTCAAAGTTGACTCAGTTTCCAACTTCGAGGTGGGTAAAATGAGGACTCAAATTGTTGGGGCAATATTGTAAATTGTTGACATTGTAAATTGCCCAGAGAGTGCTGTAAAGCACTTTGGGGCTATATATAAGTCTAAGTGTTATTGTTACTGCTAGAACAAAAGGTGCATTTCTGAGTGCATATTGATGATACAAAAAAGAATTTAAATTTTTTCTCAGATTCTTGATTTGTAAAGACTAGGGATGCATAAATAGCCCATTTCATACAGTTGGATGTTCCACAGAACTGCTGTGGTGATCTCTTTTTGAAAATATTCACTTGTTTCTGGAATGAAAGTAAAAGGTGATAAGTTTAGTGAAGAAGCAGATTGATATGCAATATGTTCATGTGTATGTTTATTCAGAAGTCATTCTCTTTGGTCAAAAGCAATTCAAGTGTGTTCATTCAGTTTTACTCTGAAAGCATATTCAGAAATGTTCAGTTACTGTAAAGCTGATAAGTACATTAATGTTTACAGTAATTTTTATGAGTTTGTGTTGAACAAGCTGGTATGTAAATAGTATTACATATTATGAAATGATTTCTTAAAAGCCATAAATAATCCTTGAATTTCTTTTGAATAGAATGTCCAGACAATACATTCATGGTTAGGAGGTACAAACATAGTAACAACTATTGACACTGAACTTCCTGACCATGTTATAGCATGGGCTTCGTCTGTACTGAAGAGAGCGATCAATGAGAATTTGAAAGGTGCAAAAGCACATTTTGATTCTTATGGTGAGTGGTTTACAATGATTCTTTTCAAAGTCATTTTCCAAACTTAATAAAATTGCTGTTCATTTGTGGTGACTGTTATTACAGGAGAATTCTAAGATCATTTAGGATTAAAGACCAGCACACAATCCACTGATGCACAAATTGGCTTATTACAGTGCCAGAAGCAATAGACAAGCCAAAAATAGGTGGGGAAAGCACATTTTGCTTGCTTTATTTTTGTCAAATTCTCATCTTCATTTTCTTACAGTGGAAAAATATGGCTGGCTTGTAGATGGTGCTGCAGATGACCGTATTACAAAATTTATAGCTGAGGAGCACAGTTTTGATGAATATGCAGAGGTAATTTGTATAATTGTATAATTTATAAGTACCGTACACCTGGCTTTTGTTCTGTAATATACATCAAATAAAATGCCATGACTCTTATTTGAATTATGTCAGCTCAGTTGAAAAACAATGATATTTTGTCTCAACAAATCATGACTTCCATCTGAGCCTTAGGGGATGATCTATGAGACAAAATTTGTGCTTTAATCTTTGCAGAGACGTATAGTTCCAATTTTGTCCTTAAACTTCTACCTTCTAACTGGGAAAATTGGCCTTCCCCCGCCCCCCAAGATTTTTTAAGTGTTATGGTGCTTTAAATCTTTGTAAGGCTTAAACTTTTCATTTTTTCCCTTAAAATACCTCCTCAATCCCTGATGGCTCTAAGACAGACATGTCAAACTCGCAACGTCACGTGACGTCATGCAACATATTGGAGCTTTTTTTGCCATTTCCGGCAATGGGGTGGGCGCGGCTCTGGTATGATGAAACCGGCCTGCGGGCCGGCAGTTTGACACCCCTGCTCTAAGGGAAACAAGTACTATTATGATGCCCACCATAGATGATTGATTGCTTTTTCCTGGTATATTTTTCTCAAATCAACCCTGACAGCCAGATTTCACATTTCTAGCTATTATGAGAGTACCATAGATATTTTGACAAAAAAACTAAGTAACCCGATTTGAAGAAATTGTATTTAGATGTCTCCTTTATAGCCTTTTCTTGCAGTTTGTTTTGGGTTTTGTTTTTACAGCTCTATACTGCTCTAACTTCTTTTGATTCAAGATATTTTGTACTGAAAATAAACATCAGTACATTAAAAAAATTACACAAATTTTACAAAAATTACACAAGCAATCCTGATTCATCTCTGCACCAAACTCCCAGTAGAACAGGCTAACTTTTCATAATAGAAGCAAGGTGGGACTCCTATTACCTATTTTATAATGGTGAAATTGTCATTAAGAATGGACCCCCTCTTAATCTCACATGAGATGGGTACCCAGAACAGTATTTCTTGGGAAGAATCCACATGGTAGGCTAATTCTGGTTGGAAGAGACAGTCCTACAGGTACCTTGGTGTCAATCCATGTGGCATTTTAAAGGTCAAAACTGGGATTTTCAATCAGGTCCAGAAGCCTATTACTAATCAATGCTGCGATTTTAGGCTATATAGATGTCACATAGTTGAACCTATATGCTGTTTACCACATGACTGTAGTAATTATGATACCTTGAACTATATGTATGCCAAGTTACAGGCATTTAGATGTGAATTTAATATTACTTTAATGCAGGGGTAGTCAACCTTGGCTCTTTTGTGACTCGTGGACTTCAACTCCCAGAATTCCTGAGCCAGCTGTGCTGGCTCAGGAATTCTGGGAATTGAAGTCCACGAGTCATAAAAGAGCCAAGGTTGACTACCCCTGCTTTAATGCCTATATATTATGACCAAACAAATTGAACTGCCCAGTCAAGCCACAGAACAGCAAGCTTGTATATAATTTACAAAAAAAGAAAAAAGAAATGAAGACTGTTCATCTTCTGTAGCTTGGTAAGCTAGGAACGAATATGCTGTGCTAATAGAGTAATAGCTTGGTTTGTGATTATGTTCCAGGCACTCAGGTTCAGTTTTTTTCCTGAAACAAAAGACAAAATGTCCCCTCAAAATGCCCACCCTTAATTCCATAACCTGATTGTATAATAGTGCCTGGAATCACAATTGAATTTCCCTTTAATGTTGATGACAGATGTGCATCCTTCACTGTATCCCTGCAGTTAGTTCATCTAGTGCAAATGTGGGCAACTGATGGCCCATGAGTTGTGTGGAAACTTCAGCACCCTTTTTATGGTTCCCAGGATCTTTTTGTTGCTTCCAGAGCACTTCCATTATATGTGATATGATTTGAATTTTGGATATGAATAAAACAATTCTTAAAGAAAAAATATTTTTGAGTTTTGATGATGTATGAATAATCAGTAAGAGGCTGGTATTTTAGAATAGGCTTGATGTCACTTACATGAAGAAAAACAGAATGCTATGCTAGCAGCTCCCATCAGTGCTTTTTGCAAGTAATTGTATAATGAAAATAGTACTTTATTTACATAATCTAGAGACTAAACTGATCATAAAAAGTTCTAATAGGTTCAATGGAACTTTCTTCCAAATATTTGTTTCAACTGTATTCAATTATGCATCTGTACGTAAAATAACAAATATAATTATGTTTTGAAGCTTATAGATGAATTTTTAAACCTTTCAACGGAAATAATGAGCTTGCCAATGATAGCTCACTTCCCTATGGTGCGTTTAGATTGTGATGACTTGAAGCAAGGGTTATGTGAAAAAGCAAAAAGCTTTGCATATAAATTATTGGATTTATTAGCTTGCAATCATAGAGAAGAAAATAACATGTGAGTAATTTTTTATTACAAATTATCTCTTACTTAGAAAAATATTGCCACATATTGTATATAGCACTGTTAATTTTTCATTTTGTATTTAGGTACCCTTTCACTTCTGATCAGTTGCTTAGCGACCATTTGAAGTTATAACAGACCTCTCCAAGTTCCAATGCCCCCCCCCCTTTCCACCTGCATTTTGGGTGTTTGGCAACCAACTTGCATTTATGGCTGTTTGCAGCAATCCTCAGACACAGGATCATATTTTATAAAAAATTGCTGAAAAGTAGCATTTACTTCCAAATTGCAAGGAAACTGACCCATAGCGAACAATGACTTCACTTAATGACTGTGGCATTCACTTATGGAATGTGACGTAAAAGTTGTAAAATCTGGTTGGTCACCTGCTTTATGACCATCATGACTTATGACCATAATGGGCAGACTTCATTATTGTTATAAGTTGAGGATTACCTATATTGTTTTCTGACAGATTGATTTTTCATTGTTGCACTTAAAAATTAAGTACTATGTATAGGTCTGTTTAATATGCACTTCGATGTAATGATCACTAATAGTTATTTTTACATAAAAGTTATATTGTAGCAACTACAGTACTGAAGGTACTAGAGATAGAAATGTACAGAATTGTGTTACAAATCTAAAATGTGTAAAACTCACATCAAAATTATTTTTAGGATATGTAATGAATTTGAAACCATTAAAGAACGTGCATTAAAAGTTCCTGAGACAACAGAGGAAATGATGGAAAGTATAGCCTTTATAGACAAGGCTAAAACCATAGGTATCCAGAAGTTGTATGAAAGGATTAAGGTAACTATTTTAGCAGACCTGGTTTTTAAGTGGCAGATAAGTGTGTTAATTTAATTTCAGCTAATCTTGATTTTTCTCCTATATTGTAAGATATAAGTATTAACATCTAGTCATTGCAGCATAATTTCAAACACAACCGTTATAGTATGAACTTTTGGTTTGTTTACACATAATGACTTTTTAATGTTTTAATTAGAGTTGGTGGTTTTGGGGTTGAGCTTAAGTCCATTTACATGAAGGGTGGGTAGAATTATTAGCTGCTTATAGTCATTTTGAGAAGATTGAAATATATTATTTTGAGCTTTTCTTCCCTAATTGGGAAAAAGTAATAAGTGTTGGAATGATATATCCAATCATATAATTGAGCCCAATCTCTCTTCAAATTTACATCTTGTTTAAAGCAGAAGTAAACTACTTAATTTATTTTATAGGAATGCCAGCGACGAATGAATTATCTTTTGGATATTTATTTATTTGAACCAGAAGACTTGACATTGAATGCAACTGTTTTGTTGTGGCCTCAAAATATTAACCCTATCTTTGATGAAAACGATGAAGTAAATATACATTTTTTAACCATTTTACATGCTATATTGTCTGAGAAAAAAAAATACAGTTTTGTAAGTACCTCAGCTTCCAACTCTTAAGTTTGAAGACTGCTGTTAAACAAATTTACTATTACAGACCAAATAACTCACAAATGGTATGTTTGAATTGATTCAGTGTGATTTAATGAAGTTAGATAATGCTATCTATAAATGCACTCCACTTCTTCTTTGTTTCATAGATTATAGAAATGTCTAAACGGAAGGGTGAAACTGAATTATTAGCCAAACGTGAGAAATTGATAATGGAAGTAGAAAAGCAGATTCGTCGTATGCATGAATTCACAGAGTACTGTGATTTGGACCGCATGCAACAGGTCTGTGACATTTGGAATAATTTTTGCTTGGACTTCGCACAAGAAAGATACACAGTGTAAAATAGTAGCAAAAAAGAACTATCTATATTGTCAGAGGACAAAAAATTATACTGATGAATCTTGATGTTCTCTAATGCTTAGTAAATTAAATTCTATTCCTGACAATTCCATTAAAACATTGCTACTTCTACTATAAACATAAATGTATTTCATTGTTGGAATGGTAACATTAAGATGTTAGCCTCAAAGTAGAAAGTCCTGAGGCAGCCATAGTTGATGAGATAAAAGTTTAATATTCTTTGGATTTATATGTGGGATAGTACCATGTTTGCATCTTGATGATGCTACAAGATGATTTAATGGGCTGATGACATTTGTATACCTACGTTTCATGCAGGAATTGCAATAGAAATTAACGTTAAGTATTTATTTATAAGAAATTTACTGACAAAATAAAATTTGAACATTAGGAATATACTGTATATCTCTTCAAAAGAAGTACTGAGGTGGTAATAAATGTAAACCAAAATGATTTCTTGCTTTGTTCTGGTTTTTATACAAGAATCTGAACATGAGTGAACAAATCTGTTTATTTCAGCTTGTTTGATTTTTTTAAAAAAACATTTATATTTATAAGTACTTGTATCCCTTAATTTTAAATACGATCAATTTATTTTTTGGAATTTGAAATTTCTAATGATAGATAAATCTATTTTCAGTACGTGACTGACATGAGAACACTGCAAAAACGCATACAAGATGCTGATGAAGCAGTTACTTTTATTAATAAAGAAGAGAAGCTTTTAAATTGGGAGCTGACTGAATATCCAGAGTTGGAGACCTTAAAGGTTAACACTGAGCCATATCAGAAACTTTTTGTTTTTATACTGAAGTGGCAGCGGACTGAGAAACGGTAAGTTATACAAATATTTTAAGGGAGTAGCAACTAGTATCTAGATAGTTTTTAAATCTGAATTCCATAGCAGTTGTATGATTTTTGCTAAAAAAAAGTCTGTGATTTTCATTGTTTTATAATTTACATGTTTGATTTTAATTATCATTTAGGTTAGTGTAAGTATAATTAAGATGAATGTAATTAAGTTGTAGTCATTGCAAGTGATTGGCAATGTTTCTGGATTTTTACAGTGCTGCATTCACATTGCCTCTAATTTACAAAATAAATTGGTACTTAGTGCAAAAACCAGCGATTAGAAGGTACGCATCCAGAAATTATCAACTGTTGTTCGTTACATGAGAAATAGCTGTGTTTTTCCCATTGCACTCAGTGTTCAATCTGGGGATGAAAAATGGTCTTCTTCATCAATAATATCAAACCCCTTTCTTCCCAGACCCAGACAACAGTACAGAATGATTAGAACATTTACTCTGGTCTTCAGTGTAGTTATTATCAGAAAATTGAGGAGAAATATAGTAAATGATTTTTTTAAAGTTCAATTTACCTCCCCTAAAATTACAGTGATTTTGCCAGCTGTGCAGAGAGAGTTAATAATTATTTACAAGCATTTTAAAATAGATTTTGAGGGCAAAACTCTACCAATTTATTCTCACTGTACAGCCCATTCCTACTACTCAAGAAAGATGTACAGAACCTCCTAGGCAAAAGAATAATAGAGCTGCCTTCCAATATTCAGGTCTACATCAGTTTCATCCATACTGTGTCATTATTTAAGGAGGACATTGAGATGGGCTTTACTCTAGTCTTGGGGACCTCAATGACCTCATAAATTGCAAATTTTTCATACAAACATAAAACATAGGCCTTCCAATTTTTTGAAATTATGCTATTTTTTTTCCTTCCAAAGCTTGAGGAAAACAAAAGATCAGCTGTCCTTGTTTTGATATACAGTAATTATGGGAAAGATTTAGTTGAGGAAGTGGAGGTGACAGAAATACCTTGGAAAACAAATAACTGCACAATGATCTTGAAAGATTAAAGAAATAGGCTAAAGTAATATGCACAAATGCTAAGTTCTTCACTTAGGAAAAAACCCCTAAATCTTAATAAATAAATAAAAATTGCAATAGAACTGCCATTATACCTATACCTGTACTTGTAAGAAAGTTTTGGGAATACTATGTGATTAGAAACTGAATATGAGCCACCAGTATGGTGCAAGTGCCAAAAAGGTAAATGCAGTATTGGGCTGCATTAATACAAGGATATTTTGCACATCATAGAAAGTAAAATCCCATTTACTCTGCTTCAGTTGTACCCCACCCTGAAGGGTATGTTCAGTTCTGAGTTATTATTAAGTAAACAATAAAAATAGGATGTACATCTGAAGGTTGGCTGTGAAGAATCTGCTTAGCATCTGACAGAAAAAGCCACTTGGATTTGTTTGCATTGGACTGTGGCTCAGCCATTCCTATGGAGCTGACAAAAGAGAAGTCTATGAGACGTTTGAGCCTGTGAGAAATTTAAAGCCTGGCTCTTTCAGTAGGATGGGATGATCTATCTATCTATCCCTGATAGTGTATTTTGTTTTTATAACAGAGATGGAGTTTGATTTATCCTTCTTCAGTGTGTTGCACATATTACATTCGTCTTGGTTATTGCTTTTAATTTGCTGTTTTTAAACCATAATATGTAAGCTTCCTGGAATTAACTCTGGTGATAGGTGTGGCCTGCAAGTAAAGAAATAAATCCCTATCTAAAATATATTTTCATTCTTTTCTTTTTTAGATGGATGGATGGTTCTTTTCTAGATCTCAATGGAGAAAAGATGGAAGGTGAAGTAGATGAATTTTTTCGAGAAATTTATAAGACATTAAGATTTTTTCAACAACAGCTAAAGAAAGCTGAAATAGAAAGAAAAAAGTCACTGCGAAGAGCAGTAGTTGAAGAGAGAGTAGAGGAAGAAAAGAAGGACAGTCCAACTATTTCAATGTGTAATGCTGTAATGCAGCAGGTTAAAGATTTCAAAGTAAGTGATTTAATTGTAAAGCAAAGTTTTAAAAAGTACATGCTGAGATACACTCAGAAATTTTTAACAATGGTGATATTTCCATAATATGCTGAATTGCATCATGGGCAAAACTAATGTGCTATACAAACTGTTATATCCAGTGAATGAAGAAGTTATAGAAGAGCAGATTTAATTCAAGTAAGGTTTAGATTTAAATGCTCTTCCCTGGTCGGCTGAGCCACGATAATAATATTAACTCAGTCAAAAGTGGAACAACAGCCTAGCCCATGTAGTCAGTCTCAAAGAGGAAGAATTGAGACGACAGAGTGGTTAGAAATGCACAGTGTCTATTATAAAACATATTGCTGGCTACATAAATCAATCAAGCATAATACCCAAAAACTGTGTTCTTTTATCCTTTACCTTGGGTTAATCTACTAAATCAATGAAAGGTAAGTATTGAAATGAGATTTCTCCCTCCCCCCCCCCCAAAAAAGAAAATAAATTGAAAGTTTATTAGATTCATAGCAGACTGGTATAAAAATGATAAAAACATGTTATAAAATGGTCCATAAATTCAAAACAGAATAAATGAAGTAGTTGCACTGCAATTGTTTAAAATCATTAAATTGTGGAAATGGTAAATTAGGGACCAAAGAAGGCATAACTGATGGAAAAATGTACTAGTTCAATTTACCAGAAAATATATTAAATTCCAAACCTTTTCCAATGTAAGCATGTATAAATATTTTAAATATTTAATCTTAACATTACTTACATGAAGATTCAAGATTCTTACATAGTTTGCAGGTTTGGATGATAGTAACAAAAGTACATAGAAAGTTAATAAAGGAAAAGAGTTCGAAGAAGACACATTTTCACATCATTTCCAAATGGCCTGTTTCTGCATCTTGGGAGAAAGGGCTAAAAGCATAGAATTATACCATAGTACTCAATAAAAAGCTCTTGTTTTGTCTGGGGCATGAGATTCTATGATTTGATTGACCACTGTGCTTTAGATATCACCACAAATTGCATTGGTCACTAGTTTTCATTCTTATTGGTTACTGGTTATGGCCTAGAACCTATCACCTAAAACCCAAAATATGTCAACAGATAGTTAAGCTAAAACATTATACATTCTTACATTTTACACTTTTTAACATTCTTTCTAACTTACATCTGGATTGTCCTGCTAGTAACCACATTATAGTTTAATCCAGTGGTGGCGAACCTATGGCACGGGTGCCAGAGGCAGCACTCAGAGCCCTCTCTGTGGGCACGCGTGCAGTCACCCCAGTCCTAGGTCTTCAGCTGGGTTTTATAAAACCTTTTCCCTTTAGGCCTCCACCGCCATGTGCAAAAAAAAAAAGGTTAAATCAATCAATCAATTTCAACTTCTCGCGGGGAGAAAAAAAGATCTTGCAAAGTTGGAATTGATTGATTGAACTTTTTAGTCCCACCCAGTCTGCCGTTACCACTGCAGCCACGCCCACCCAGTGGGCCACGCCCACCCAATGGGCCACACCCACTCGGCACTCGACGATGCACAAGTGGGTTTTGGGTTGCAGTTTAGGCACTCAGTCTCTAAAAGGTTCGCCATCACTGGTTTAACCATTCCAAAGGTGTTATTAGCACCTGTCAAGAAGGCACTGGTGATTTCCAGACTTCTTCTCAATACTGTTCTGTGTGAAGGATCATGGGACATCAGGCAATTCCTGAAGAAGGTGTAAGTGGAATCTCCATTGCCAAAATGTTGAGATTTGACCCATTTAAATGAGATGTGAGCTGCCAGGATCACTATTAAGGAGATATGACTGACTGGACTGGTATTATGCAATTAGGGCCAATGTCTTCTGAAAATTATAAGCAATTTGCATTAGAAGTGTATGTATGAGAGACAGTATGTGCACAAGTATATATGCAGAAATAAATATGTGCTTTCAGCTAACCTGCCAAAATTCCTAAATAAATTTCAAATTTTAAGTAACATTTTAATTTTTTTCTCTCAACTAGGAAAATATCCCCTTAGTGACTATCCTTTGTAATCCAGGCATAAAAGCTCGTCATTGGAACCAAATGTCAGAAATTGTTGGATATGATTTAACTCCAGATTCTGGAAGTACCTTAAGAAAAGTGTTAAAGCAGAATCTAACTCCTTACTTAGAGCAATTTGAAGTCATAAGTATGGGAGCAAGTAAGGTATGATAAAACACTAACTATTAAACTCAACATCTCAATATACAAGGGAATTAAATAATAAAACAATGTATTTCCTCTATGGTATAGGAATTTTCACTAGAAAAAGCAATGCACAATATGATGGAGACCTGGGATTCAATTTTCTTCCAAACTAGCTTATATCGTGAGACTGGAGTTAACATTCTGTCTGCTGTTGATGAAATCCAGACAATTCTAGATGATCAGATTGTAAAAACTCAAACAATGAGGGGATCACCATTCATTAAGCCATTTGAAAAACAAATGAAGGTATTTGCTTTCTCTATTCTCTTTTAATTCTGGATGTGTGTATATCTTTAAACTGTTGACCCACATTTCTTGATAAATTTGCTCTGGAGTTAATCTTTAATCAAAGGTAATCAAAATATAATTTATAAAACTGTTGTAGGTTATTCATTTAATATATATATATAAATATATAATTCATACATTAAAAGGTATAAATCTTTAAATCTTAAACATTACAATTTTTCTTAAATATTAGGTCAACAGAAAGTTTTGAAGGGGTGCTTTAGTTTGATAAAAGTATGAATAAAGAGGCTATTTTCTTTTACTTCTTTTCACTCTAAGCCCTTATTCACCCATCTTATTCTGAGTAACCAAAATAGAAGTCTGGAGAGACATAGTTATACTCACAAAAGTAGTTCCTGGAGCTCCTGCTAAAACATCAGAGCAAGATGAAGTGACAAAATAGATTTCATTTCCTATGTGGTTGAAAACACTCTGTCAAGATGAAACATTGTTCCCTCATACATTCTGTTTAGTATTTGATTAATTGATTGATTGAGAGTCCTGCCCTTCCACTTGATTGAATGAGAATGGGAAATGACACTCCAAATGATACAAAAATAAGATAAAGTAGAACAATGAAGACAGAAATAAGATGATCAAGTAATTATTAAAACAATCATAATTTTCAAAATCTGGGTTCAAGAATTACATTTTAATCCTTTTCTAAAACTAGAAAAAGTGAGAATCACACCCAGTTCTTGGGTACATTGTGTCCCATCTTTCAGTTATTTGCAGATAAAACCTCTCTGTGGTAATGTCTGCATTCTAGGAATGCTGTTCTTAAAATATAAGATTTGCCTACTACTGTATCTTTTATTTAGATTTCCCTCGAAGACTATCTCTTTACTCAGAATTGCCCGCTCTCATTTATAGATGAGACATAAGGAATTTCTAAAGTAGCCCAATTTAAATGAATGGAAGAGAGTTTTCAATTTAAGTTGACCATTTTTCTGGTTTTGACTTTGCTTTTCATAATATATGATATATAAAGATACTCTGTGCTAAAATTTTAATGAATTTTTAGGAATGGGAAGAACGCTTAATCAGAATTCAAGAGACTATTGATGAATGGTTAAAAGTGCAAGCTCAGTGGCTTTACTTGGAACCAATTTTTTCTTCAGAAGACATTATGCAACAAATGCCAGAGGAAGGGCGCCAGTTCCAGACTGTGGATAGGTATTGGAGAGATATTATGAAATACTGTGTCAAAGATCCGAAGGTAAAGTAGTAGTGAAGAGTCTGCTCTGATTAGGTGAAATAAGTATACCACATATTTGTAAGCTGTGCACAAAACCTTTCAGTGACTTTTCTTTTGTGATGTAGCCTGGTATTGTAGCTGCAAAAAGCCATTACTGAAAGTCTTATCATGCTATGTGAAACAGAAGAATGGCAGAAATGTATTTTTTTTAAAAATTCTGAATATATTGCAAAAAATATACCCGCTTTCTTTATATGACAGGTGGCTACTTAATAATTGAGAAATCTACATAAAGAAAAAAAATTCTATTCCCAAATCTAAAAGTCAGATTTCACATGAAACAAAAATTAGTATGCAATTGATGAAAAATGACTTTGCACAATGGAATGTTTAATTATTTTTATCATTATTTCAAAATTATTAAAGGACGTTTAATGAAATAAGCTTTATAATCTATAATTATGATTCACTCACCGAAATTTCAAAAATAGAAATATTTTAATGTTAAATAATACAATAAAATTGGCACTCTTAATCAATTCCTAAGTTTGATAATAGGCTGGGATGAAAGTTAACAAATCAAAACAGTCATCAGATAATACTGCTGTTAGTAGGAAACAAAGGTCTGAATTTGCGGCTCATTCAGTTCAGAATGGGATCATACTCTGATGTAAGGAGCAACTAACTAATGAATTGTCACAGTTGGTTTAGGGTTAGGATGCACAGCTGGTAATTGTGCAAATCTATTCCTTGACTGCTTGACTACTGCAAGGCAATGTCCAGAAACTTAGCAAAATATGGCAATTGGGTCGTGCATGTAGAGAGATGGATGTAAATACCAATATAAATAATTATCGATTTCCCCTCACAGTCCATTTTTTAATTAATTTTTAATTACTTGATCCATGTTTAAACATTAATATTTGTCAGATGCCTGGGAAAATTTCTGAACCTAGAATCGTTTATAAATACTGCATGAATAACATTTTTGGTAGACATATGGAAGAACATTACTTTAATCTTCAACTGTGTAATGCTTTCAGCCACATGAAATTAATGAAAAAATGTTTAGAAACTTAAACAGGCTGAGGCTCTATGAAGAGCATGTTGGTGTATGTATTTTTGCCACTTTTTAACATATGAAATTAGTAATAGGTTTTTCCAAGCCCTTGTTGCAAATGTACTTAGCAATGTAATTGTTGGACAAGAAATTCTAGTCTAGGGTTTAGTTTTGTTTTCTCTTCTTTTTTAGGTTCTTGCTGCCACTTCATTGACAGGGTTGTTGGAAAAACTTCAGAACTGTAATGATCTTCTTGACAAAATCATGAAAGGATTGAATGCATATCTTGAGAAGAAGCGTCTCTTCTTTCCACGGTATGCTTCTGTTGTTCTTTAATAAAGCTGGAATAGATTATATATTAAATTCGTGTTTTATGCAAACATACTTAACTGTAGTAATTGATGCATTATTAATTTATTTTAGCTTTTTTTTCTTGTCTAATGATGAGATGCTGGAGATACTATCAGAGACTAAAGACCCTCTCCGTGTGCAGCCTCACTTGAAAAAGTGTTTTGAGGGCATTGCTAAACTTGACTTTCGGCCAAATCTGGATATTAAGGCAATGTATAGCACTGAAGGTGAACGTGTGGAATTTATTTCAACTATTTCAACTTCTGAAGCTCGGGGAGCTGTTGAAAAATGGCTAATACAAGTTGAAGATATTATGTTGAGGAGTATTCATGATGTTATTACAAGATCAAGACTGGTATATTTTCTGTTAAATATTTAGAATCTTATTTAGTTGATATGTACCATTATTAGATCTGACTAAATTGGATGTGTTCCCTCAGTCATTTTGAGGGAAACTAAAGCTGAATAGATGGGAGGGTGAATAGATTTAGATAAGTCAACAGGGAGGAGCTTGAAAGTTTTTTTTTCCACGTAGATTAAACTCAACTAGTAATGTCATCAGTATTGAGATAGATTACAGTTAATCTTAGCTAACTGTAGTAAATACTGTAGAACAAATTTCAGTAACCTCACTCAAAACTACTTATCGTTTATAGCTGATGGTTATTAAAATGGAAGTGGCTACTCTGATCTTCACCTATTAGCCATTCCAAAATTGGGGGGAAAACTGGCTTAGCCTTGATATTGTAATGCTAATCTTTGGTTTTGCATTTTGTGAAATTAGTGGCTGGGTTCAATTTAATATATTATTAATCATGATTACTCCTAAGTAACACTGATAATTACCTTAGGCATATCCAGAAAGCCCAAGAAAGGATTGGGTGAGAGAATGGCCTGGGCAGGTAGTTCTATGCGTCTCACAAATGTTCTGGACAAGTGAAGTTCATGAAGCCATAGCTAGTGGCCCAGAGGTACTATTATGACTCATAATTTTTCTAATATTATTTTTGTATTATCTTTTTAGCCATGTTATATTTATTCTACGATGCTTATGATATTAAGTCTCTGTTGAATTAATGATGCCAGTTATATATGTAAATGAATACAAATATAAAAGTCAACACTCCATGAAGCAGAATTTTACTTTTGGTGACTATATGTATATATCTATACAGTTTTGTTTTTGTTCTGCCAGATAATTTGTAATTGTTTTCTTCCTCAACTTTTTCTCAACTTTCCAATCTAATTTATCCATATATAGAAAAGTTTATGTCTCAAGGCTTTATTAACACTGGAGATTCTTACAGTACTAAATTCTCTAGTTATTTATCTCAGTAGTTTTAGAACAGTAACATCAATCCAACATTTGTTTTCTGGATATTGTAGTAGGGTTATACAGCTACTCTGATCCAAAATAGAAAAGGTGCTTTAAAGAGGAAGTATATCTGCTTGCATGTCAACTCTAGAGCATCTTTTCTGAAACCTTTTCTGTTTAGATTTAAATGCAGATTCCTACAATTTAGTCATTAAGTAATAAGATTCATAAAAATTAATTCCCGGTTAATTTTTTGGGGGTACAGAAAATTATGTGCATAGATGAAGGGAAAGTCAGAAATGTACATGACCAGCATTTGATTATTAAAGTTATCATAGCAAAACTTGATGTTTGATGAAATTGGGAATAAACAACAGAATAATACTGAGAAACTCTTAGCTCAGTGGTGGCGAACCTATGGCACGCGTGTCAGAGGCGGCACTCAGAGCCCTCTCTGTGGGCACGCATGCCGTCACCCCAGCCCCGCCTCCCCTTGTGGCTCCCTCCTCACCAGCAGCCCCCCTGGAGGAGGGTCGCCCTCGGGCGCGGCCCGCACAGAGCAATGCAGCCAAGGACATGGCAGCCGGGCAGCGGGGACAAGACTCCACCCTCACGCTCCATCGCACGCAGTTGATGCTGCGAGGTGCGGGTGGAGAGTGTAGCTGCCATGGTGCTGCTGGGCCGCCTGTGTGATCTGCAGTGGGCCGTGGAGGCGGTGAGTGGCCCTGTGGGTGGGGGGGCAGGGGGGGGGGGGTCGGAGCGGGGGGCAGGGGTGGAGCAGGTGGGACGGGGAGGGGCTGGTTTTTGGGCACTCAGTCTCTAAAAGGTTCGCCATCACTGTCTTAGCTATTCATAGGAAAGTGTGTATTATAGTTGAATTTTCCATTTTCATTGTTCAGGGTTTGAAGAATTATTATCAGGCTCTTCAACATCAGTTAAATGATATAGTAGAGCTGGTAAGAGGAAAGTTGTCTAAACAAACAAGGACTACATTGGGTGCTTTGGTCACTATTGATGTGCATGCTAGAGATGTCGTCATGGAAATGATTGAAAGTGGTATGTAACATAATTTTTATTCATCACCATAAAATAATACATACTGTTGTGTGCTTGATTTTTGCCTGCTTATTTAATAAATTATTTTTTAAAGTAATTCTCTTTATTAAAATAATAATTCTGTCATTTTAGATATGTCTCAATTATTTTTGGATTGTTTTCCTTTTCTGTTTTCTTGCTAAAAAAATATTACGCCTAAAACATATTCCTTCTTTATATTCCACTAGGTGTGTTAAAGGAGACAGATTTTCAATGGCTTGCTCAGTTGCGATATTACTGGGAATATGATAATGTACGTGTGCGCATCATCAATTGCAATGTAAAATATGCTTATGAATATCTTGGCAATTCTCCTCGACTCGTTATTACTCCTCTCACAGACAGATGTTATCGTACTCTGGTAAGGTTTTAAAAATTCAGTTTCTAATAAGGATTCTAAAAAGTCAGTTAATTACAATAAATCCTAGTTGTATTTGCATTTTTGAAGCTACCTTGAACAATATTGTTGTTCTCAGAATTTCTGTTATTAAAGAGTGAGATTGTAATACTCTACACTTGTTCTTAAATTTATTAATTTAATAGCAGTATTGACTTCTCCTTTGCTGGATATTTTCATCTGTAGTTGAATGGATGCTTTAATTTGAATTCTTACATTGAGCAGACAGTTGGAATCAAAGGCCTAATGTTCTCTTTCAGCCCTATGATTCTAAGAAATGAAATTTATGTATAAGTAGATAAAGTAGATATAGAGCAATTCCTCAAGTTATCTAATCCTGATGAAATACAATATCTGATTCTGATTAACTTCAAATAACATTGTGAAAAATGGCAAATATAAATGAGTTTGTTTTGAATTGGGAATTTGTTCTTGGAATAGCAAAAAAGCTATGTACTGTATTATTGATTCAAAGGAAATGACAGGTCTGCTCTGAAGTTAGCTATGCGATTACATATAGTTTCATTAGTTCTCAAGTGTGATGGTTTACATTTTGAAATATTACCATTAATGTCTTTCTTTTAGATTGGAGCATTTTATTTAAATCTTGGTGGTGCTCCAGAAGGTCCAGCTGGGACAGGTAAAACAGAGACCACCAAAGATTTGGCTAAAGCTGTTGCAGTACAATGTGTTGTCTTCAACTGCTCTGATGGCCTTGATTACCTAGCCATGGGGAAGGTAAATTGAAATTGCATTTTTAAAACTGTGATTTTAATTTTTAAAATATTCCCAGGTTTTATAAAAAGAAGAAATGCTTGTAAGTAATCCAACGTCATAGTTTGTTAGTAATTTTTTCAGTCTCACAGGGCTGAATGCAAAGTTTAGTAAATTCTATTTGTTTTTTAATTGGTTATATTAGATGTAACTATTTATTTATCTATTGTATAACTGCCCATCTTAAAACCAAACTGTGGGAAGCTTACAATCCAAAAATAAAACAAAGTACAACCTGGCACCACAACCACACTTTTCCAATGCAAGCTGCAATATTCTCATGTCACTTTAACCTCACAATATCCCAATGCTTGGGGGAATAACCAGGTTTTAAATATTATTTCATGATCCCCGTTCATTTACAAAATTAGACATCCTTTTAACACAACCAACAGATATGGTGGTATCTAAGACATATGGTCNTGCAGGCATGTCCAAAGTCCGGCCCGTGGGCCATTTGCGGCCCGCGGCCCGGTTTAATCCGGCCCTCGAACAGCCCTCCCTGCTCTATTAAATGCGGCCCTCCCATGGCCCTCCGGCAAGTCCCATGAGAGAGAGAGACAGAGACAGAGACAGAGGCACTTGCACTTGCACTTCTGTCTCTCTCTCTCTCTCTCTCTCTCTCATGGGACTTGCCCCCTCGCAGGGCTCCTCATTGGCCCTGCGCCCGGGTGCCCCGCCCCCTGGGAGAAGGGCGGACAGGAAGTTCCTTTCCCAGGCTGGCCCCGTCTCAGGCGCATGTGGCTGGGGAGCCATGCGGGGAAGCCCCAAGATCCCCGCCCGGCTCGTTCCCGCCGCCGCTGCCGCCTAGCTCATTGCCGCCGCCGCCGCCCAGCGTGTTCTTGCCACCGCCGCAGCACCGCAGGGAACGGAAGGGAAGGGGGGAGGGCTGCGTGTTCCTGCCACCGCCGCAGCCGCCCGGCTCGTTCCCGCCACCACCGCGGCCACCCAGCTCGTTTCCGGCGTCGCCCCGGCCTGTGATGCTCCAGGTACGGCCCTCCCCCCTTCCCTTCCGTTCCCTGCGGCGCTGCGTGTCGAGGCCGGGACGGAATACCCCGGGCCGCCGCAGCCAAGCGCGAAGGGGAGCACTGCCGCGAAGTGGCTACGGGGCAGGTGGTGCGCCCCCCCGGCTTACTTGTTCCAGTCTCGGCTGGGGCATCGCTTCCTGGGCCGCTCCCATGGCAGCCGAACCAGCCACATGTCTCCCCGTGCTGGGCGGCAGTCATGGCTGGTGCGGCGGCCAGCGGGAGCATCGCTCCCCGGGAAGCCGAACCGGCCACATATCTCCCCAGCCCGGGCCGGACGGCAGTCAGGCATGAAGCTCGCCTGGCTGCCGCAGGGCTCTCCGCCGCCCAGCCCCACCTTGGCCCCATCGGTGGCACCTTCCTCGGGCACTTTCAGGGAGCCGCCGCTGCTGCCCTCGTTGCTGCAGGAGAAGGAGACCTTGGGATGCGAGGGCGGCGGGGCTGGCGGCGATCGGGACCCCCCCTCGTCGGCACTCCCCGTTGCCGGCGCGGCCGCCCATGGTGCACCCG